CAGTGCTGCTAACAAATTTCAGCCAAGAACACCGTCACCTGGCCAAAGGCACGACCATTGCCTTTCTCGATGAAATCGCGGAAGTCAGTGACACCCTCGCCCTTTCGAATCCAGCGACCATCACCCCACAGACCCACAACTCGCAGCTGTCATTCGACATTAACCCTTCCTTGCCTCGATGCAAGCAGCAACTGCTCCAGAACCTCCTTCGACGTTATGACGACTGTTTTGCCACTTCTTCACAGGTCCGACACACTTCTCTGGCAAAGCATCGAATCATAACACAAGAAGACATCCGCCCTCTCCATCAAAGCCCTTATCGTGTGTCGGCACGTGAACGTCAGGCCATCCGAGAGCAAGTTGAGGAAATGTTACACGACGATGTAATTCAGCCATCGAAAAGCCCATGGGCAGCACCAGTCGTCCTTGTCAAAAAGAAAGACGGAAGTCTTCGGTTTTGCGTTGATTACCGACGGTTGAATAGTGTAACCAAGAAGGACGCGTACCCTTTACCAAGGATCGACGATACCCTAGATCGTCTTAGTGATGCAAGGTACTTCTCGTCCATTGATCCGAAGACAGGGTATTGGCAAATTCAGGTTGATGAAAGAGATTGAGAAAAGACCGCCTTCATCACGCCGGATGGATTGTATGAGTTCAAAGTGATGCCATTTGGACTTTGTTCCGCTCCAGCAACCTTCCAGCGTCTAATGGACACAGTACTGGCAGGTCTCAAGTGGCAAATATGTCTCGTATACCTGGACGATGTGGTCGTCTTCGCCTCCAACTTTAGCGACCACCTGAAAAGGCTCCGGACAGTACTGGACGCAATTAAGTCATCAGGGCTGACACTGAAGCAAGAAAAATGTCATTTTGCCTATGAAGAACTACAGTTCCTTGGCCATGTTATAAGCAAAGATGGCGTACGACCAAATCCCAAGAAGACAGCCGCTATCGCACAGTTTCCTCAGCCGCAATATAAGAGAGCAGTGCGCCGATTCTTAGGACTGTGCGCCTATTACCGGCGGTTCGTCAAGAACTTCTCACACATTGCTGACCCTTTGACGCAGCTCACCAAGTCGGACGCCCCTTTCAAATGGAAAGCTGCACAACGTGAGGCAAACAACTTCAACAACGTTTACAGTCGCCGCCAGTGCTGGGTCACTTTGATGAAAATGCCGAAACTGAGATACATACAGACGCCAGCAGCATCGGCTTAGGTGCCGTTCTCGTTCAGAAGCACAAGGGCTGCGAGCGCGTCATCGCGTATGCAAGCCGCTCACTGTCGAAAGCGGAAGTGAACTATTCCACGTCTGAGAAGGAGTGTCTTGCGATAGTATGGGCCACCTCGAAATTCCGCCCATACTTGTATGGCAGACCCTTCAAAGTCGTAACGGACCATCATGCGTTGTGCTGGTTGGCCAGTTTGAAAGACCCTTCTGGCCGTCTCGCTCGATGGAGCCTACGGCTTCAGGAGTTTGACGTGAAGGTAGTCTACACGTCTGGTCGTAAGCACTCCGACGCAGACTGCCTCTCAAGAGCCCCTGTCGGCGCACCACCAAGCCATGAAGACGACGATGCCTTTCTTGGGCCTATCAGCAGCAGCACCTTTGCATTACAGCAGCGCTCAGACCCGATCCTACAACAGTTGATCAACTACATCGAAGGAAAAGCCTCCATACCGCCTGCACTGTTCAAGCGTGGGATATCCTCCTTCTGTGTGCAAAACGGGGTGGTAGTTAAAAAGAACTTCGCTCTGAATAAGGCAGCTTACCTTCTTGTCGTCCCAAGCAGCCTCAGAGAAGAAATTTTACAAGCATTACATGACGAACCCACTGCAGGCCACCTCGGTTTTACACGCACACTCCACAGAATTTAGAACGATACTACTGGCCCCGCCTCTCCTCAGATGTTGCGCGGTACGTCAAGAGTTGCCGTGAATGTCAGCGCCGGAAGAGACCTCCAACAAAACCAGCTGGATTCCTCAAGCCAATTGAGCCCCCGTCGAGACCATTCCAACAAATTGGTATGGACCTGCTTAGACCTTTCCCCACGTCAACATCCGGTAACAAGTGGATCATAGTGGCCACTGATTACCTTAGCCGATACGCTGAAGCTAAAGCCCTTCCGAACGGCACAGCCGTAGAAGTTGCCAAATTTTTTGTCGAATCAATTCTCCTCCGTCATGGCGCACCTGAGGTACTAATAACAGACAGGGGAACGGCGTTTACGGCTGATCTTATTCAGGCAATCTTACATTACAGTCATAAAGATCACCGAAGAACAACTGCGTACCATATGCAGACAAACGGTCTCACGGAACGCTTGAACAAGACCATTGTCGATATGCTCGCTATATACGTGGACACAGAACACAAGACCTGGGACTTAATTCTGCCTTACGTGGTCTTCGCCTACAACACCGCGGTGCAGGAGACCACTAAAATGACACCATTTAATCTCGTCCATGGGAGGGATGCCGTTACTACCCTGGACGCCATGCTGCCTAATGTCACCGATGAAAGCAACCTAGACGTGGCCGCCTACCTTCAGCGCGCAGAAGAAGCCCGGCAGCTTGCTCGTCTGCGCATAAAAGACCAACAGCGAAACGACGCAAGACGCTACAACCTGCGGAGGCGCGATTTAACATACAGGCCAGGTGACAGAGTCTGGGTTTGGCGCCCGTTCGCCGCCGAGGATTAAGCGAAAAACTCATGCGCCGGTATTTCGGCCCATACAAAGTCATCCGTCAAGTGGGTGAAGTGGACTATGAAGTGGTCCCTGATGGGGCTAGCTCATCCCAACGACGCCGCGCACGACAAGAAGTGCATGGTACACGTCGCCCGTTTGAAGCCCTATCATGCGCGCTAAAGGAGGCTCCCTGTTTGCATCTCTTGTTTTGTTTATGTGTGCATGATTCGTGCTTATTTGACATTTACCTTCGCACAGGCTGTCCTTTTGTTTTGGTTTTATTTTAAACAAAGCATTGGGTCGATGCTTACGTTGAGGAGGGGAGCAATGCCGCGAGGCGTATTGCGGATAGTGTTGCGCATGCCGATACCGCCGGCACGCGGCCTTATCGTGGTCCAGGATGCACCGTGATTCATCTGCGAAGATCGTGGCCCGCACGTCGACCATTCGTTGATAACGAGATAGCGCCAGACGCTACGGCGACTGTACCTCGGATGGTGAACGCGCCTTGCGATCCAGTGAAACATTCTGTTCCCCGACGGCCGTCGAACACGCTGTTCGCCACCCGCTAAGCCGATGTGTCTGTTTTCCTTTAGTGGGCGCAAGGACGCCAAATAAACGGATCTCCTTCTATTTCTACTAGCCTCCCGGTCTCCTGTCTTCGGGCTACCCTCACTCTTACGTGACCCAGCATACCCATTCCAATTTCCGCAAACTAACTTTCTAGCAGTAGAATTGGATGCAATAGCGGAGCGTTTTCGACAGGTGGTACCTTGCGCCGCTGACAGTCACTGCATGTTCGAACATAACGTTTCTCCTCTGCTGCCATTTTCGGCCAGTAGTATTTTTCTTTGGCGTGTGTCAATGTTCTTGTGACACCGAGGTGGCCTGCAGTAGCTTCGTCATGGCAGGCTTGTAAAATTTTGTTGCAGGAAGTTTTGAGAATTACTAGCAGACAGCTTCTCCCTGTTGATGAGAAATTTCTTTTGCAGAGAATTCTGTTCTGCAAGCAAAATGATGATAATTTCCTCAAAAACTCTCGGTGCATTCGTGGCTTGACATTTCAAGAATACTATTAGTGAGTTGAGCTCTCGATCGTCTCGGTTTTGCTGAGAGATGACAGCCGCATCAACAATAACAAAAAAAACCTGTGTATTTGTCATCCTTTGCAATCTGTGATTTCATTGGCGTCCTTGACAATCAGTCGGTAGTGAAGTGTTCCCTTTCCAACTTAAGCTACAATGATGTCGTCTCTTGAAGCTATAAGCTATATCGCGCCAAGCGTCAGGATGGGCCTTTCATGTTGGTGAACCAACAAAGAGAGTGGTTTTCACCTGCGACTTAGAAAACGCGGTCATATAAATACGGGCGAAACTTCGCAGCTGCCAAAATGACAGCCAGACACTCTTTCTCCGTTATTGAGTAGTCGGACTCTGCACGTGTCAAAGCTCTGCTAGCATGGGCAACTACTCTCTCTGCACCATCTTGGCACAGGACAAGAGCAGCACCTAGGCCTGTTCGGATGGTTGTTGTTGCGTCCTTGTCAAAATGAACTAGAACGGGTGGAGTTTGTAGATGAGACTCTTTGAACGACGCTTCTTGCTCTTGGCCCCATACGAACGCAACATCTTTCCTTTTGATGCGGGTGAGTGGAGAGGCGATGTGTGCAAGGTCTGCTATAAATTGCCGGTAGTAGGTGCCGAGACCCAGGAAATGGGTGAAAAAGGAGACGTTCTTGGCGGCCCCATTCTAAAGTGTTTCTCTGAATACGACACCCCCTATGTTTCTGAATAAAGCACCCGTGTTTTATTACCCACGACAATATTGAAACGCGCTAGCGAAGATTCGACGAAGAGGAGGAAGAGACTGGACTGGCTCGCGAGCGACGCTGTTCCTTCGCTGAGCTACACCTCGGCATTACCCATCTTGTAAATAAACGCGTTCCATCGTCACAATATAACCACATCTTTGTGCAAGCCATTCAGAGACGAGCTGCATAACGAAGGTGTGTAGACTCTAGGGTGTTTTATATTTTAGATTGCTTCCAATGGTGACCATCGGAAAACCATCTAACTTGCATTTCCTCCCCATGTCACGTGGCATATGGACTGCCACATTTTAATGGTCATCCAGTTGGCCATGATTTGCCAATAAATCTGTGGTGGATACCCTGCGAATATGTGTGAGGTTTGACATGCCTCAACCACGACGTGACCATGAGGCACACTGAGCCCACCTCCTTTAAAAAGGGTCAGGCTAGTTCGTACTCCATGATCAGAAACGAGGAAAGAAAAGGCGCAGACAAGCGCTAACTCTTCACTGAGCTTTATCTAACAGAACGAGTAAAGGCACACACGCATCAACGGAACAGTGAGTGTACGAATATGGCAGGTGAATACAAACCCCAAAATAACCTGGCCGATGTCACCGCATGCATGCACCCATGCCTTCCAAAAATGTCAGAGTGAAATGTACAGCTTGCTCATGCAGAATCCCGCTTTATGTGAGCAGGCTTATGCCACAAAATCTTACTTTGCCTATTCCACTGAACAGATAGACAAGACTGCTAATATTTGTTCTTTCTTGGTTATGTAGCCATTACTCAAAACGTGGATGCCATGACATTGCTTCTCTCCCGTTTACTTTGAGGGGTGTGATGTGTAGACAACTCACCGACAGTCTTGGCACCACTGTGAACAAAAAAAGTGTCTGTTCCACAAACCATTTTATGTCTACCTCATACCAGTGCATAGCCTACGGTTTAAGATGTTCGGAGAGCCCTGTCCTACATTTTATTGGAAGTTGTACTGAAGGGGTGTTCTACAAAAAAGATTTTTTGCATCACTTTATTTGTGGGCATGTTAACTGTCCATGCCTCCAGGAGATCCATGCATAATGAGCGAGCTCTGCCATTGCTCCCTCTTGTTGATGCGATGGAACCCCACTTCTTGTTTTGTGTGGCTTGGATTTGGAACCGTAATCATGTCACTTGATCCGAGTTCTGTGGTAGTTCCAAGAATTGCCAGTGATGTAGCTAAGCCCTCCATTGAAGTGCATTTCCTGCAGAAGGATGCTTTAATGCTTTATAGCCATATGCTGGACTTGTTTCAATTCAAACAGCACATCAAGAAAGGACGAGACAACAGAGGTAAAGAGCGCTTCCTTGCCTTGTATAAACGCTCTTCTTATCGCAAAGCCTCTGTTGTCTCGTCTTTTTTTAATCATTTTATACGCTGTCAACATTTTTTTAAAAACTGGACTTGTTTGCAATTTCTGGAGCAGTTAAAGAGGCAGAACACTATCATTATTTCTTGCAGGGACCAAGCGACGGACAAGCATCATCGCAAAGTCAGACATTCTAGGTACAAGCTTTGTTCATGCACTTAGTCTTCAAGGAGCATCTCAACCATGTCCTTTTTCTGGCACTGCGTGTCATCCAGCCTCTGAGCCTGTAAAAGAATCGTGATAATCAATATTGTCAATAAAGCGCTCGTTACAACTCAACCTACAGTTATGCCTCACTGATAGCACTCTTTATGAAATGAAACTTGTACTCACTGTTCCCCATCGCATCAGTGTTGGTACACACTTCAAATTGAGAGATTTGTCAGTCCTGAATGGGTTCTTCAAGTCTTTCCAGCTGTGTGCAAAATAATTCACCATCAAAATGGCATTTCGATTTAAATTGGTATTTAAAAGGTAATTAATAGATAGTTGAAGAAAAATAAAAACTATGACCTGAGAGCAGTCAGAAACACCAGGTCAATATCAAATGAAGCAAAAAGTCTTTGTAAAATGAAACTTCGGGCGATTAAATGCAAATAGCACCGTTGTCCACCAAAACCGATCCTGGAAGCAGGCCCATAGCCAGGGATTTCTTAAAGGGGGAAGGGGGGCAGCTACATTCCCCTCCATCCGAAATTCAAAGTAATCCTAGGGCACCCTTCCCCGACCACGGGCCTGCGTAGAAGTAAAAATAGCTACCCTTTCACTCCTCAAATATAGCATGTTCCAAACTTGACGCACTTTTGACCCACCAATGTGTGTGTGCATGCACATGTGTCTGCGACTCTTGAAGGTTGTCGGCTGAAGATGAAAAGTGCGTGTGAAATAAAAAAAAGTAAGGCCACGGCACATCTCTCATTTGTAGTGCAGCACAAGTCGACAGGAGAAAGAGTTGGCAGCCAATTGATTCATCAACCGCATGTCATCAGCAAAGCCCTCAGCAAGACACCTTGAAACCACACAAGTGGATCCCTGCTGCAACTAGCAACACCATGGGGAAACCTTGGAATCTCAAACTACACTTAATCGGCATACGGTGGACAGGTGCAGGATTGGTTCGGACAATTTTACTTACTGCCACATCATTGCTGAAGTGGGACACGGCTGCAAATTTCAATGACTACATCGCTAATGAGGCATTCCAATTTTACCTCGCATATCTTTGAAAACAACAAATCATGACGAAAAAAATGACACTTATTTTAAAGTATAGATGAACACCATACAACATACGACCAGATTTTAACTCACTCATCACGTTAACAGGCAGTCTGTGTTGCAAGCATTTCTGCCAAATGAGTCACATATTGGAAAGTCTTCGACGATTGCGCTGTCTTATCAATCTTCTGAATATACCAAGTGCATTTAAATGCCGACATAGAATTTCAAATTTCCAACAGGCAAAGTAAAACCTCTGACAAATGCAACCGTGCCATGTTCCCAAAAGTTTCCCATATTGAAAAAAATCGGTACCAGATGCAGTTGACTCATTTATCTTATTTCATAATGCTTACTTGAAGCCTGAAAATGTTGCCAAGGGCACGAAATATAGCTGATGCGTCGGGAACATACCCAACCCCTACACCACGTCCAGTCTAATGGGGTTCTTCAATCACAGAGCTTTAATTCAGCAGCTACGTAACATTACCAACTGTCGCAATCAGAATATAGCTGAACTGTAGCACATTGTCTAATGCCTAACCACCTTATAGGTGAAGCAATATGAAGTCACCCTCACTATTGATCAGCAAAAGTCTCTGTTGCTTCTGATTACATGGAGCAGGCATACTTCTTGCCAGCACATTACACTGAAACCACTAACAGTGCATGCTTAACTAAAGAGGAGGAACACTCACTGTTATTTAAAACAGGCAAACTACTCACTCCCCTTTAAGCACCCCCCCCCCCCCTTCGAAACGGATTTCAAATTTCTTCAAAGCTCTAGCTGTTGAAATGGTGTGTTTTACAGACAGGAGTTGACTCGACAAAATAGCGGAAGTCGATGCAGGCCGACAATCACAGTGCATAGTCTTTTCTCTACTCAAGCTCCACTGCCCCCGTTACAATCACTCCAGTGCCAAGAGGGAGCCATCCTGGCGACCTAAGGTACACAAAAGGGTCATGTTACTGCTTGAGCAAAGTGACATGTACTATTTCTTGTCTATCACAATGCTTGTCCAGAGATGCATCCAGCCGCTCTACGAGTTAGTTGACTGGTAATGTTTGGTGCACTGCCCAATAGGGATCATTGTACCTCGAAGAAAGCTTTTGGGAGAGTCCTGGAGGAGTAGATGGAAACCGCAACCTCACCAATGAATTAGGAGCTAAGCACGCAGGCTTAGTTAATGCATCGTGGCAATGTTTTTGGTGTGTCTGGTCTTGTAATGGGAATGCACAGGCAAGCTTGTGATATTCTTCAGCATGTCGGTCGTCCTTTGCCATGGGCACCTGCCAGTACCTGAAGCGTAAAATCTAATGAAGAAAAGGCCTCTGCTCGTTGTAGGCAGTCTAAGACATCATATACTTCTGTGCGTGTTACTTTGCGAAGTCAGCAGTAGTCAATGGAGAACCCGATAGACTCGTCTCTCTTTTTTTTTTTTATGAGAACTACCGGTGAAGCCCAGAAACTGTCGGAGGACTTAACGATGTCATGTTTCAACATGTCGTCCACTTGCTTATTGATGGGCCTACTACTGAAAGCTGGGCATATTAAAGCTGTAGTACAGGTGCTCGAAACAGTATGGATGCTTTTATTGATGAAATGACATTTCTGAAAAAGCCTGTGAAAAATACAAAATGGAACCCTAGCACTTATATGCAAGGCCTTTTAGAGGACATTTACTGCAACAGCGATTAGGAACTTGGATGTTCTGGTGGTAAAAATTATGAAAAAGCTCTTCTGGATGAAAATCGATAGATGAAGCATATTTAAGAAAAAGTGTCAATGCATTCCCACTGTTCACATGCTCTTCTATAGAAAAAAAAAAAAAGATTGTGATGTACAAAAATAGATGCGACATTCTGGCGGCACATTTATTTATTTATTTGCAGTTATTAGTGAAAAGTGCTTTAATTACGGGTAGTGCGACTCTCAAAACGAGCTATCGGCAGTGTCCTGGAAAGGACAACACCCGCCGATGAATCACCACAACACTTACACGCTACCGAGTGGCCTAGACGTCACGAGCCTTTGCGGAGAGCCTGTTTTGTTGTTTAGCCGACTTGGACAACAGAAGCTGTGTCAAAACATCGAGCATAGCATCGTGGATTTTTCGGGACGCACATGCAACGGCTGTAAATTCAGCGGAATCATTCTAGGTACGTGACTGTGACTTTGGTGGCCCCAAAAACAAGCTGCATGTGTTTTGACGCTGGCTATTGCAGGTGATAGATGCCCCCAAGTCCAAGACTTCTTGGCGCGATTTCCGTTCATAATGATACATGTATAGAACTGCGACTCTGGCACAAGCGCTAAAATAACGCCCAAAAAGAGGAAGACGACAACGTTGTTGTTGTGGGTTGAACTGCCCAGTTGGTCTGCCACACTGTACACTCTGCGCAGCGTTAGCTATCCCGCTGTCAACAAATAGCGCGTAACATCTTTTTTAGTGGAGGTGCGGGCTCTTCAGTCAACCCGGCTCCGAAAATCTGCAGTGGACACCACCTTTGTCCAGCCGTGACGCCTGAAACTGCCACCCAGGCCTCGCAGTATGTGCCAGCTCAGTCACCTGTGATTCCTCTCATCTTCTGGACCCTGGAACGTTTTGTGGTATCAACAGCATGGACGTCGATGAATGGCTCATGTTTTTCGAGCAAGTATGCTGACAAAGCAAGTGCTTCTCTTGCTCTCATGTTGGGCACATCTTTCATCATTGCCGCAACAGATGGTCTTCCCGGCCAAACTTTCCAAATGACCAATGTTAAAATCCTGGACAGTATTCACAACACACTTTCATGGAAGACCCTTCAAAACCCTTCTCTCACCGTTCATATCCACTCTTCGAACCATCTTACGCTGACGTCGCACAGAGAAAATGGTCTAGCCACTCGCCGTCACCTCAGAATCGCCCGTTACTCTCACTCTTCAGTGCAACCATTCTCTGTCACCGGCTTATTCTGGTCATCCCCCAAGAAACTGATAACTGCAGCTCCTGGAGGTGGTGCTGCGTTGACGACTAGGATCGCAAACTTTCAACCGACTAGAAATTCAAGACGCAATTCACTTCGCGTGCTCCTTGATGGTTTAGCCATTACTGCTCTGATTGACACTGGTGCCCAAGTATCCATTATGAGTGCTAAGCTTCGATCTCGACTAAAGAACGTTCTCACACCTGCTACATTGTCTACTGTGTGAGTAGCCAACAGAAGCCAAATATCAGTGCTTGGCATGTGCACTGCCCGTGTTACTGTTGCCGGTCACCACACTTCCGTCCTCTTCGCAGTTCTCTATGCGTGCCCACACAATGGCATCCCTAAAATTGATTCTCTAACTTCTCACTCCGCTCTCATAAATTGTTCCACCAGCATCTTACAGCTCGAGTAGCCTTTGTGCTCCGATTTTGCACCTATAGGTCGCACTCGGCTATGATCCGTGGTCTCTCTACGGATACCGCCCCAGGCTGCTATATATGTCCCTGTGTCGCCCTTTTCCGTCCGTTCATAATGGAGATAATCTCGTGCCTCCACACTTTGACTTGACCCTTATGGACAACATTGCACTTCCACATACCATAGTGTTTGTTCCTAACAACACAACGCTATTTCCTGTTCTCAACCTCTCCACGTCAACCGAAGTCCTTCCTCAAGACATAACTTTAGCCAAACTTTCCACCGTGAAGGAATGTACGATTTCTTCTTTCACCTCTGATTATGGCGAAAACTGTCATCACCCCTCAAAATAAGGCATTCCTGAACAAAATGATATCCGGCGACCTGTTACCTGTCAAGTTGAAGCGGAATGTGGTGTTCTATTTTCTTACCTGAATATCTTTGACATTGACGACTGTCCCCTGGGTCGCACAAGCACCGTAGCTCACTGTATCAACACTGGCAACGTGAGTCCACTTCACAAACGCCCTTACCGTGTTTCGCATGCTGAGCACCCAGTTATACTGAAGGAGGTCAACTAAATGCTCAGAAAAGACAACATATAGCCTTCATCTAGTCCTTGGGCATTCCCTGTGGTCTTAGTGAAAAAGAAGGATAACAGCTGGCTCATTCGCGTCGACTATTGCCACCTAATCAGATCACCAAGAAGAATGTCTGTCCTCCACCTAGAATGGATGACGCGCTCGACTGCCTCCACGGTGCGAAGTATTTCTCGTCCATTGATTTTCTATCCAAATACTGGAAAATTTCGGTTGACCACCGGGACCGCGAGAAAACAGCATTTAAAGTATGCTTTTTGGGTTGTGCGGGACCGCGAGAAAACAGCATTTAAAGTATGCTTTTTGGGTTGTGCAATGCTTCGGCTACCTTTGAGCGTATGATGGACTCTCTTCTCCGCAAATTCAAATGGTCGACCTGCCTGTGCTATCTGGATGATGTCATAGTTTTTCCCCCACCTTTGAAAGCCACCTGCCTCATCTCTCGGCCATTTTTGACATTTCGTTGTGCTGGCCTTCAACGCCAATTCAATATGAACGACGGCAGATTAAACTACTCGGCCACCTTGTTGACGCCACCGGTGTACGACCCGACCCTGACAACTGTCCGCGAATTCCCAGTTTCGTGATCCATACAAGAAGTTCGCAGCTTTATTGGGCTCTGCTCATACTTCCGCCGTTATGTCACGAACTTCACAGATATGGCTCGGCCCCATACTAATCTTATCAAAAGAATGTAGCCTTTATCTGGGGTAAATACCAAGACCATTCCTTCGCGTCGCTGATTTCCTCTCTCACATCACATGTGTTGGCTCATTTTGATCTAGCTTCTCGGACAGAGCTTCGCACCTATGCAAGTGGCCATGGCATTGGCACGATACTCGCTCAGGTACAGAATGGTACGAACCATGTGATAGCCTGTGCTAGTCATCTTTTGTCGCAGATGGGACAAAATTATTCTACCACTGAGCGGGAATGCTTAGCCCTTGTCTGGGCCATCACGAAATTTCGTCCATACTTATACGGTCGTCCGTTCGCAGTCATCACAGGCCATCATGTGCTTTGCTTGCTGTCAACACTTAAGGACCCTATAGGAAGACTCGGCCGTTGGCCACTAAGATTAAAAGAGTAGACGTCCTCAGTTGTGTACAAATCTGGCGATCCGCACACTGATGCCGACTGCATATCAGACACCCCGTCGATCCACCCAACTTCACTAATTTGGAATCCGATGACTGCATCTTAGCCAGCACTGACTTTCTGCACGGGGGGGGGGGGGGGGGGGGGGGGATGAACAACATCGAGATGAGATCAATCGCTGCTCTCCATCATTGACCGCCTCCAATTGGACATACTGGCCCTTCCCTTTGCAGGTTCCCGCTTGAAGACAACATTTTGTACCACTGCAACCTACACCTTCATGGGGTGCAATCACCTGCGCGAGGATGTTCTACAATAATTTCACGACTCTCCAACTTCTGGACATTTAGGTGTCTTCAGAACCTACGACTGCGTTCGATGCTGAGTATACGGGAAGGGTCTTTATCGCTCTGTTCGCCGTTATGTTGCAGCTTGCGACCTCTACCAGCACCGAAAAAAGCCTACGACTCCCTCATCGAAGTGCCAGCCCAGCCATTTTATCAAGTGGGGTAGGATTCGCTAGGTCCCTTTCCTACTTCGACAAATGGAAACAAATGGGTGGCCGTAGCAACCGATAATGCCACTCGGTGTGCAATCACTCGAGCGCTACCGACCAGCTGCACCACTGATGTTGCAGACTTCCTGCTCTATGACATTCTCCAGCATGGCGCTCAGTCTAACTTGCTCACAGATCGTGGTTGCTGCTTCCTATCTCGCGTGATTGATGATCTACTTTGATGTTGAGACCTGTCACAACTTCACCACGTTTTACCACCCTCAGACTAACGATAGTTCTAGCGCGAAAATAGAACGATGACAAAGAGTTCTCACGCATACCAACTAGCCCAAACTGCCACACTTCTCGGACTGACGGCCTTACAGAGCACCTCACCGCACACAGACAGACATGCTTTCTACGTACGTATCTAGCAATCACACTGATTGTGACTTAGCTCTGCTGTTTGTCACCTTCACCTACAACTTATCGCGTCATGAAACAGCTGGCCACTTGCCATTTTATCTACTACTCTTCAGCCGTCATTCCTTACTACGCTTAGACACTCTGCTTCTGGCTGACTTCACTTCGTACGATCAAGGTGTTGTCACCCATGCTCTCATGGCATGCGCAGAGGCCCACGCTCAGTTATCATCCTCACAGAGAGCGCAGAAGTCTTTACAATTGTCGACATAGGGATGCTTTTTTTTCGGCGGGCTTTCTTGTTCTACTGTGGCTTCCATCTCGATGTCTTGGCCTCTGCGATAAATTATTATCGCGCTACGTTGGGCCCTTATTCATCTGGTCACACCTATCACTTATGAAAATTCCGTGACAAGAAGCTCATCGCCTGTTACACCCAAAACCAAAGTAGTCCAAGTTTCTAATCTTAAGCCCTACTATGGTGACTCGCCAATTTAACAGGCACTGAGACAGTGCCTTACCGGACGGGGTATTGACACGTGGTTGAAACTGGCGCTAAAACGACACCCAAAAAAAAGGTAGACGACAACGTTGTGGGTTGAACTCTCGAGCTGCCCAGTCGGTCTGCGATACTGTGTGCTCTACACAGCGTTAGCTAGTCCCGCTTTGTACGAATAAATTTTCTCCGTAACGATACTATCAGGATGGCATAGTAAATCTGATTTGGCGTAAGAGTGCAATCGCTGACAAATTCATCTTTGAAATATCACAAAGTGCATCTAGATATCTGTATTTCAAGCTTCCAACCCATATCTCTGTATTATGGAATACCTTTCTGGGTATCTCTGCCCAGCCTTGATCTAAAGGCTGAGAAAACTAACACAATCATAAGCAATTATAGAGTGTCTATAGCAAATATACTGCTTTGATTGAGAGAGTGAGCTGCATGCACTGCTCAACTTGCTTAAGGCACATTTTGCAGCGACACCACAAAGCCAGCAATAAATAGGGATGGCCAAGAGTTATGCATAACTTAATTGTTTGGAGACTTACATTGCTCTTTCAATATAGCATGTGATCAGTGTCGTTTCTTTTGGAGCCTTTTCCAGTGCTTCTGCCAGAATGGGTTTTGCTGCAGAATAGAGTAGATTGCAAGCTTTAAAATAAAAGAAACACAGTAGTCAGCTTTGTACTATCATGACTGCACAAAAATATGAAGAAGCATAAAGCTTAAGATAACACAGAGGTGCATTCATTTTAAAAGATGGACACAAGAAAGAAGTCACAACCTATTGTCCTTGACAGACGGGACAGGTGCTCCATTCATTTTTTGATGAATACAGACTAATAAATTTACAATACAAAAAGAGCTCCTGTAGTGTCCAGTAGCATAGCCAGAAATTTCTTTGGGCCCCCACTCCAGATTACCATTGCTCCTTTGAACATTATCGTGTTTGTTGGTTGTTAGTGCCCCAAAATAAACATTTCACGACAAGGGTGACCATGTGGCAACTTTCAAATGAGTGATTGCACTTTTGGATGCTGAAATATAGCCATAGACAGTAAAAAGTTCATCACGATACTATCAGTTAAGGGCTAAATGTGTACTATGTGTATGTCCTATTCTTAATCCATTAAGTGTTACTTCTGTGCGGTGTGACTTGAATGTTGGTGGCCAATTTCTGAAACGCGGCTTGATGAGATGAATTTTATTTTGTGTTTGCCTATCCCATAGTCGCAGCCGATAATTCTTGAGCTTTCCTTTAAGGAAAAGCTTGAGGTAAAGTGCAGGCACAGTTGTGAATGTACTGGCTGTAGTGCTTGTGAGCGGGAGCAGCTAGCTGGTCCGCCAACACGTTTCCTTGAATCTTGCACGGTCCTGGCAACCAGCAAACTATGACATACTATTTTTGTACGTATATCATGCATAAAAGTGAGTAAACAAGAAGAACAAATTTTGTGAGTTTTTTAAGAATTTTTTTCAGAGCTTACAAAATTTGTGTACCATTGCTTTTGACAGTTTTAATTCTTTTATATGTCCGATGGTCGATAATATCACGTATGCCTCTGCTGTGAAGATGCTTGTATTGGGGTGCAGAATGCCTACATCCGAAAAGGATAGACCAATCGCTGCATAAGACACAAAGTCTGAGATTTTGAGGCATCGGTAAAGAATTCAGGAAAAGTGCATTTGTGCAGGAGTTCCTGGAAGTGTGTATGGATATGTGCTGCAGGCGCGTGCTTAGTAACTTACACGAAGGATACATCGCAGTCTATGAACTTCCATAGTGGGAGAAAGCAGCGAGGGCCACCAGACAGTGTTCGAGAATGGGGCGCCCATTTCCTGAGCTAGGCCCCCCATACGCGGTGAGTACGGCTGTTGGGCGGTTGTCATACAAGGCTGAACTTACATCAATTAAAGAGTTTGAAGGGTGTTCCATGTCTCCGTTCACTTTCAGAAAATACACAAAGGCGGTGTAGATCTCTACAGGTGGATTGACCACTCATTCAATTCAGCGTAGAGGCTTTGTACGGGGCTGGCACAAAAAGTGCCCAAAAAAAGGTGATTGATACATTATCACTCCGTAGTCACAGCATGTGCGTATGAGGCTTATAGACATTCATCAGACAGTTCTCGTCACCACCCCATGCAGTGCATGACAACAATTTCAGAATATTCATGGCATCTAAGCATACTCTTTCTTATATACTTGATGTTAGGTATGAAAGATAGCGTGGTCAGGAAGACAAGACAGTGGCGGAGAGGGCTCAGAATGCAGCAGCAGCACGACTTGCCGCCAAGGCCCTGCGGTGCGAGCGTGCAAGGCCGAATAGACACATACGCTCTCCAGTGCATTTTATACAAGCATCCCACTACCATCAGGGGCACATATATAGACTTCACTTTCTTGAACTTTTCACTACATCCTACAACTCGTGACCCTCTGGCTTTGCACAAACATGTTGGAAGCACACTGCGTTCAGTACTTTCAAGCCAGCACAAACACGTTCCAAACCTGCTAGCACGAGGCTGTAAGTGTCGCCATGAACCCCCGACTTTGATGATGATTGAACAGAGAGGATTGAGGGCTTAGCTCCATCATTATCATTCACTTGCTTGATATGCCGGAATTTTCTCCAAGGTGCTTCTAGAATTTACCAGTCTCTTCTCACGTCTTGGGGCTTATTTGCATTTTTCCACCAGACGTAGTTCAACATCAGTGTTGAAGTCAAGAGTGAATCAACATTAATCATGCACTAGAACATGCAATCAACTGAATGGCGACTACCCAAGAAAAGTAAATAGGTCGTTTCATTCATTGTTGCACGTATTTTAACAAATAAATAATGATTCGACTTTTTTTACTCCACTTTAAATTTGATTAATTTCGGTTTTGTGGAGCGCAACAGACAAGTTCAGCCTTACGAAGCTTCGTCCCGAGAAGGACGCTCCTGTCGCATGGCATGGCTAGAAGGGCCCAAGCATGGCTACGCACCACAGAAGACATATCTAGCACGGCTTAGTGCCTTTAGACATGCTTCAGAAAAAGTGTCCAGAAATCCTGAAAATAAAGGCATCATTTTTATGTGGTGGCAGACATCTTAAATGCCTAGCTTTTTTATAAATAAAGAAGTTGGGCAGTCGAAGTGTTCCTTGCTGCTCTGAGATTTAAAAAATAAATGGCCGCTGTCTCCTCCCCCCTTTGTCGTGACGAAATACGAATTTCACCGAAGCACCTGAAAACTGCAGAACGACGCAATCGCGCTCTTGCAATCCCAATTTCGGCAGACATCGGCAGTGTATTTCGAAAGCCCGCGCCTATTTGGGCGAGATCGGGCTATAGAAGGCAGCACCATTCCCGCGCAAGTGTGGATAGGCGGTCGGCGGCCGGCGCGTATACAAATACACGCAGCGGCGCTTCGTTGCGCGCGGTCTGAGCAGATTGTCAGTGGGTAAGATGCCTTGACTACAGTTCACTGTTAAGATCTACGCTCTTCTCTACTGAATCAGTGCACAACACCTATGCAACGTTAACATTACCCGTGAGTAAAACGCACTCTGCCTTCCATAGGGATGATCGTCGTTCTGGGCGACTTTTCATGCCTTCACACTAAATCACGCCTTTGCTGTGTCGTTTGTACGAGGTTAGCTTGTGTTCCACCTGCTTGCGTTTCTCCTCCAGTTCAGCTCGCTTTCGAGGATGGAAGCGACGGCCATCCTTGAAAGAGAGCCGAACTGGAGGAGAAGGTTATTACTCGAGTCGTGGCACATACAGAGGTCAGTCCATAACATCAACCGCTCTCTCGGAACCCTTCCCCCAGAGTATACACGTGGACTGTGCTCCACGGCAAAACGAGAGAGAAAGAGAGAGGGGGTTCATTATCCACCCCGCCGCTGCTATGTAGTCTCCGCAATCACCCCAGAGAAAGGAACCAAGTCGGTTTTGAAACGTCGGATTTCTTCAAAACTTTTGGTTGAAGTAAAAATCTCCCATAAGGCATGCCATCTGAATAAACTTTCAACGCCTGGGCTCTCTAAAGCATTTTCAAATCTAAGCACGCGGTGGCACACGGTAAATCTGTTTTAATAAGTACAGTGTAAGTACCGAAGTCTCACAGTTCTTGTGATAGTAATATTTCTATGTAGTGGTACCACAGCCAGATGAACACAACTGAGGCATCTCGCATGATCGATAAACTACGGTGCGGCAGTTGTACACCTGCCACCAGCGCGCAGTGCATGACCTAGGAGCCTTTTTTTTTTTGTACAATAGATTCTTTATAAAACGCTGCATTCACACACCATTAATAGTCCTCATGCTTGGGAGGATGCCAAGAGCATTTTGCAATGTGCTTGAAACAGAAGGCAGCACCAACTCTGAAATTATTCTGGTGAATGGAGGGTACGATGACATTACACAGCACTCCGGAAAGTTGCACTCGCATTAGCATTAGCAGACTGCATTAGCAGCCAAGCAAGACCAAATGCCTTTGTGTGTCGTTTCAGGCATACGTAGAAACAGTTACACTCGTGCTGACATGATCGAACAAACCATACTTTCAGAACGTGCATGACGTACACGCACATAGAAACACGACGTGGCTACCAGACAACGCAAGGAGCAATCCACACTTCACCGTTTCGGCCAGTCGCCGCCAGGCTGCAATTCTGCTTCATCTCGCGGCCAATAGTGCAGGCATATTATCCTGGAAAAAAAAGTTGCCGGCAGTTTTTTCTTCATTGGCTCCGCATGACCATGTGGCTTTTCTGTCGGCTCATTTATGGGGAGCCTTTCATGCTGGTAATACATATGCCAGCAAAATAAGTGCTGCACGTGTAGTGCCGGCGGCTGGCATAGGCACCGCACACTGACCAGAGGGAGCTGCGTTACCTCGACCCAAGAGGCCCTTGTGAGACGAGCGAGGTCAGCGGCCCGTGCCAATAGGATCCCGGACAAAGGATCCCACTCACGGACATTCCTTCCTCGGTCACAAATAAATGTTTTATACTCTCTCTCTCGTCTCTAAGTTTCTGACATTCGCCGTTAGGAGCACACAAAAAAAGGGACACATGATTTGATCATTTGCAACAGTACTGAGAAGTGTGAAGGGCAAATAACATGGAAGGTAGGAAGGCTGCAGTCAACGATTGATTATGCACTGATGTCACATAGGACGTATGATAAGCTCAGGGGAATGCACATAGATGAAGGTGGCTCCAGAAGTCTGGGTTGTGATCACAAACGTATCAAGCTAAGTTTTGGAAGAGCAGCGAAAGTGTGAAGGAGACAAGATGAGCAACTACAGGAAAATTTTCATTCACAAAGGCAAATGAAAATTGCTACTAAACAAATTGAGAAAGTGATCACTGAGGATAATAAAGCAGTGTGGACATACACAAATCTAATTAGACTGTTTGAGCTAGAGCTTGCTAAGGCTCGTGACAAGTCACCCCGGAAAAGAAGACACAAACCCAAGAGTTGGTGGGATGAGGAAGTTAAAAGAGCCATAGCAAAACGTCAGGAAGCCTCTAGAGAACACAGACATGCTAAGCAGCGGGGTGAACAGACAGATGATGTAGAAAGAAAACGGGACATCTTTCTGAACTCTTGAAGGGAAGCATCCCTCCTGATCAATGAAGAGATTAGAAGAAAGGGTGCTCAGTGGCTGGCAGAAGAACATAAAAAGGATAGAAAGGCAGCTGCCAAATTTTGGAACCATCTAAACTCCCTAAGAAATGAAACAAGCCTAGAGCAGAGGTTCGTAACTACAGCTCAAAATGCTAGGCTAGGAGGGGACGAAGCTGTTAAATATATAAGAACAAGGGTGACAGAAAAATTTCAACAAAAAAGTGCCTTATGCAACACAATAGGCAAAGATGGGTAAGTGGCGCAATGGCTCCATTTTCACAACCAGAGTGGGAAAGGGCTGAGAAGAGGGTTCAAAGTAGTACATCAACAAGCCCAGATGGCATTCCAATTATGCTGATAGTGACATTGGGTCCGAAGTCTGAACCGACTTTGAGAGAGGCAGTCAGCAGAACAAGAATTGGTGGTGAGGTCCCCGATGGATGGAAACTTAGCAAGATGAGCATGATCTATAAAGGAAAGGGCGACAAAGCTGACATAAACAACTACCGTCTTATAACAGTGACATCAGTGGTCTACAGGCTGGCGATGCAGATTATAAAGGAAAAACTGCAGGCATGGATAGAGGATGAGGGGGTGCTGGGAGAACTGCAGAATGGGTTTCGGAAACACAGGAGGTTGGAAGACAATCTGTTCTCACTGACGCAGTGCATCGAAATAGCAGAAAAGGAACACAGGCCCCTATGACTAGCATTTTTGGATATCAAGGGAGCGTACGATAGCGTGGCTCAAGAGGAATTTTGGGGAATACTAGACACACTGGGCGTGGAAGATGTAGTCACTAATCTTTTAGATGGTATGTATAAAGGTAACAAGGTAATTATAAAGTGGAAAAAACAGGTATCCAAGCCTGCAGAGGTAAAATAGGGGCTTAGGCAGGGGTGTTCCCTGTCACGCTTATTATTCATGATGTACCTACAAGGATTAGAGGCCAAATTAGAGGGAAGTGGACTGGGCTTCAAACTTTCTTTCGTCAAACAAGGAAAACTCATTGAACAGGCACTACCAGCACTGATGTACACAGATGATATAGTACTAATGGCCGACAACAAGGAAGATTTGCAGAGATTGGTGGACATCTGCGGTAATGAGGGAGATTGGTTAGATTTCAGATTAAGTAAGGAAAAATCAGCAGTCATGATTTTGAATGAGAATGAAGGTAGCGAGTTTACAATACAGGAGGTCACACTAGAGATAACAGATAAGTACAAATATCCGGGCGTATGGATAAGCAATGGGGCCGAGTACCTAAAGGAACACGAAATATACGTGGCGACTAAAAGTAACAGGAATGCAGCGGTAATGAAAAACAGGGCACTGTGGAATTACAATAGGTATGATGTTGTGAGAGGAATATGAAAAGGGGTCATGGTTCCTGGTCTGAAGTTCGGCAATGTGGTCTTGTGCATGAGATCAGAAGTTCAAGCAAGATTAGAAATAGAAATTAAGCGACGTGGAATAGGTAGGCTTGCCTTAGGAGCTCACGGGAATACACCAAATCAGAGAGTACAAGGTGATATGGGATGGACATCATTTGAGGGCAGGGAAGCTAGCAGCAAGATAAAATTTGAGAAGCAATTGAGAGAAATGAGGGAGGAGCGTTGGGCTAGGAAGGTATTCAGCTACTTGTACATAAATAATGTCGATACAAAATGAAGGAAGGGAACCAGAAAATTGACTGGTCAATACTTCGAAAAAGCAGGCGGACAAACCAAAAATAATTATCGGTTAAGAAGAAGGTGAAGGAAGTTGAGACCGATATGTGGAGAATTGGCATGGTTAAGAAGTCTGCACTAGAGATCTATCGAACTTTTAAGCAGGAAATTGCCAAGGAAAGGATCTATGATAATACTCGGGGTAGTTCTCTACTGTTTGAGGCCAGGACGAGAGTATTGCAAACCAAGACATATCGGGCCAAATACGAAGGGGTAGACACGGTATACAGTGCGTGTGGAAAGGAAGAAGAAACTGCCGAACACTTGATAATGTTCTGTAAATGGCTTCACCCTATAGTTCAGGATGATGGCACAGAGTTTTCCAAAGCACTGGGGTTTAGGGACAGGGAGGGCAAAGTAGACTTTAAGCGGGTAGAATTAACTAGAAGGAGGTTATCTGATTGGTGGCTAAAGTCAAGGCACGAGTGAAAATTAAACCCTTCACTGCAAAGTACGAATCCTCAACCTCACTATTTAAAGGGAAAAAATATGTAAATCTAGTTTTTGGTTCATTATGTATTACGGCTTGGTGGCGCTAGCCACCGCTCGATCTAAAGGGTACAGCCACATCCATCCATCCATCTATCCGTGCTCGCGTCCCTAATGTATCCCGGACACAATTCGCTCGCGTCGCGTTCCATTTTCACCGAGGCCGTCTCAAGTTTTTTTTTTTTTTTTAATCCTCTAGGCTATGTATTCTGGCGCTGTAGTCAAACTGGAAAACTCGACTGAACGGTGCCTATAACATAACAGAAGCCAGCAACTTATTAGCGCCTTGCTGTATTTTAAGCTTTCAAACAGTCATTTAGCTCTCCGACATTTCGCAACAGCCATTACCAGCTTCACCCTCAAGGCAAGTCGATAGAGTCGAGCCCGCGTCTAAGCATTTGCCTTATCCTAGTGCCGGGGGACCTGGATACTCCGCCTTAACCCCGTCGCTATCCCCCTCGTTAAAAATTTATTGTAACTTCCACAACAATCTCGATCCATCTGAAGATGTCTACAAGATATCACAAGCTTTATTGACGCAGTAGCCTACAAATTATCGCAGTTACCTTAGGATTTTCCACGGATATGATTATGTGACATTTAACACATTCGGTATAATGCACGTAATTCGCAAATTTCTTCGGCTTCTGGGATCATCGCAACGCTCAGTTTGTAGCTGATAGAAACGTAATGGTGCGGTAATACCTGCAACGCAGTCAGGGCACCAGCTTTTGCCGCTATCATCTTCCGATCCTGTGAAGAGACACAGCACCAAATCCTGATTTTCTTTCGTGTCTTTGGGTCTTAAAGACTTGATTGCAGCTTGAAACTCTTCGAAAGACTTTGCGACAATTTTTTTCACCATGTCCTCAAGCGAAAAGACAGTCAACGTACAGTTACAGTCCTTGGAACTCCTACAGAAGTACAGTGCAGGCCACTCGAAGTCGGAATGTACGCCCACCACCACAGCACACCTGTAATACCTGCAACGCACGGCACTTCAACGAGCATGGGAATGATGGGTAGTACACACATTTGTCTAATTTTCGTACTTCTGGCCTGCTTCTGGCTCCGTGTGTGTTCGTGTGGCTTAGAGCTGTTTTTTCACAAAAACATAAATTAGCAAATGTTCACAGTTTGTGCTTCACAACCTTATTTTTTTAAGTTTGCTATTTTGAATCAAGTGCGTAAGTTTAAAAGGGTTTGTTATTTCTTTCAAAACAAAACCGAAACACAGCAATAAACAAAGCCGCAAGTACGATTCGCCGCCCGCAAGTACGAAGACTAGGCAAATGTGTGTCGTAGTCTCGTAGACTCGTAGTCACGTCCTTCCTCCGGCCGCGTTTGCTGCCACCGGGTGGCACGAACCTTTTCGAGGCAAAACGGTTCGGTTCACCCAATAGCCGCTTAAAACCGGCTTGACTTGGCTGAAAACGTATGAATAGACGGCGACAAAATCGCCGTGTTGGACATTTTTTGGGGGACGTTTAGGTGGTGGGAACGAAAGGTCTAAGGTTCCTCACTAGCTTGTGAGGATCTTTACCGTGCGGTGGTTATTTATCCGTGGTCTTTGCTTGGCCGGGAGCCTCATGCATTCGCGAGGACCGCCTCTGCGCATGAATACGTGGTCTCGTTCTGTAATACTGTCTATAAGCAATGTGGTAACGACTTGCCCGATCATGAACACCGTGTGTTATGCTATTTGTGGATGTATGCCGTACGTGTATGTCTGGTAAGTGCGTGTGTAGCGTAAGGATCGATGTGTCGCTTCGGTGAAGTGTATGCTTGCGCCAAAACTTTCATTGAAGCTTCTTCTTGCGTAACTGCGTGAGACAGATACGAAATGCACAAGTTGGAAGCGATGGACTATTACCAGGCGTTCACACGACGTTATTTTCCAAGTGGCTTAAATATGTTGTCGCCGAATACGATAATCGGTTTTCTAAGCTATGTCTTTTCTTGTGGGTGTATACAAAGAAAAAAAAAAGAAATAAAGTTGAAGATATGCTGGGAGCACTATAAATATTCGCTCAAAATTGCCACCTTGAGCCTCTTCTTAAAATTAAACAGTGCCGCAAGGCAGTCGTGTCTTGCGGTGAAGTGCACGCTGTGTATTGCGGTAAAGCATACATATTGCGCGCGCTCGTGTGTAAATTGGAAATGTAGCACCGACATTGGGCCTCGTGTGTGCACCTAAATTGTACACGCGCTATCCTCTTCCTCATCAGTGACGATGCGGCAGTCAGTATCGTCATCATCTTCAGCTTGTGTAACAAGCACAGAACAATTTACCTAGTAAAATATATTTTGTGGCAGGCAATTCGCAAAGCATTCAGATGTTAGTTCATTGCAGGATTAATTCAAGATTGTTAAATGGCACCTTCAAATAAACGAAACATGCATATGAGAGGCTGCAGTCGTACTTCAAA